CTGTACATTATGTCTTAATCCACTATTTATTTATTTTTTAGATTTCTTTTAAATTTAATCGCTTTACACAAATCATGGTCTCAATACAAAATGAAAACGTTGCGATTATACATAAAAAAAAGAAAGAAAGAAACCCCCCTCCCTCCACACCCGAGGCTCATGTAAAGAGAAACAGAACAAAACAAACAAAAAATGTACGTCACACATCTGGAAAATACGTTTTTATATAGTCAATAAATGGGTTCCAAGTCGCAGAGAATTTTTGTTGTGATGAGAGAACTCCAGTGGCAAAAAGAAAAGCTCCTCCTTTAACCACTGTACGTATGAAGGAGTCTTATCAGACTTCCAGTGGAATAGAATGAGTCTACAGGCAAGCAAAGTAGCAAACGCTATGGCATTTTCCTGAGATTTACTAATTTCGTATTGAGGTCGCATAACTCCAAAAATTCCAATGAGGAAATGAAGCACTAAATTTTGCGCACTGAGATAATACTTTGAATATATTTCCCCAGTAATTATCCAGGTTCGGACAAGACCACATCATGTGACCCTCATTTGCTGGATTATGTCCACACCTGGGACAGGCAGGATCGGCTTCTGGGAAAAACTTTGAAAGCCTCTCTCCTGTATATTGAAGACGATGAAGAATTTTAAACTGAATGAAACCATGGCGAATGCAAAGGAAGGAAGTATGTATACGATTCAAGCAAGATCTCCACTCATCACCAGATAAATCCACCCCAACGTCTTTTTCCCAATTATTTTTAGTTTTTTCCCAAGTAACAGGCCTTAAGCTCTGCATCAGTTTGTGTATGACGGAGATTCGCCTTTTGCCAAAAGGATCCATTTCCAAAATAGTATCCACTTGATTTTTAGGAGGTAAGTAGGAGAATGAAGGAAACGATGTTTTTGCAAAACTTCGTATTTGCAGATATCTAAACATATGTGAGGTTGCTATATTGTAATCTCTCATCAGAACATCAAAGGTGTTAAAGGTTTCTCCTGAAAATAAATTGTAAAAAGAACTTCAAACTATTATTGTGCCAAGTTTGGAATGTTTTATCTGAAACGGATGGCAAAAAAGGGCTAAAAGCAACAATGAAAAAATGACTAACCTGTTGCAAACAGAAGCACCTTCTGAATTGAAGCCATATTCTAACAGATGTTCCTACAACTGGATTTGTTATTTTCTGTTTTTGATTTTGAGCTAGGGTTGAGGTTAGGAGGGGAAGTGGATTAGACATCAGTTCCATTTTTACCCAAGCCTCACCCTCGCTGTTCTCATAAACATATTTCCAGTGCAATAATTTGGTGATATTAGCCGCCCAGTAGTGGCAACCCTAGCCCACCAGCCTCTTTTGGTACTTTTGGTAAGTGTCACAATTATGAATCCGCACCTCCATCATTGTGCGGGTT